AGACTTCTGGGGCCGTGGATCGTGAACACACACGTCGCTGGACGCCCGGGTACGCGAGCGGGCAGCCCCCTGGGACGGGGCCCAGACCTCTGGGGCCGCGGGGGTGAGAAGATGACCTCGTCGGGTGTCTGGGTAACTCACTGCGCCGCTCTGAGAGCGTTACAGAGCGCTCTGGAATGGATTCATCCTCGTCCTAGCCCCGTTCGTCCAGCCCCCGCTTCTTCGTCGCCTCTGTACAGAAGAGCAAACATCGGGGAAACGTAACACTCGAGCCTTGGGGGTTGACTGGCACTTGACGCGACCTCGACTGGCATTTGACGCGAACTCCATCTGCAAACGTCTCACGGAAACTGGACAATCAGAACTGACGCCAGAACCGTCCAAAGAGCGGCGACGGCGAACCCGTGTTCCAGCAAGCTCGAGTTGGAGGCGGCCAGGGGGTCTGAGCTGGACGGGCCTCGAGAAAGTCGGTCAAGAGGGGGATTAGGTCAAATCTGCTGAAAGCTGGTCCCCGAACCCCTCCCGCGGGTGCAATGGTTCTGCCCAGATTCGTTATTGACGGTCTCGGGGCCGAAAAAGGGCCTCGCAAAGAAAGGACAAAAAAAAACTCCGCGACGCGCCGAACCCGTCTACACGTGTGGCGACGATACAGAGGACCGATCAATACAAACGAACATGCTGAAGGACTCGCAGGAATCCACGAGAATGGCGACAATTGCGAACTTCGCAGACCCCCAGGGTGCCGCGAGGTCTCGGCAGGGTGTGTGTTTACAACTCCTCTCCGCTGGGCCCCCCAGGAGACCACGAAAGTGGCGACAATGGCGCACTTGGAAGCCACCCCAGAGAGCCAAGAGGTCTCGGATGGGTATGTTTACAACTCCACCCCTCTAGGCCTCCCAAGAACCCACGACATTGGCGACAATTGCGCACTTCGCAGCCCTCTCAGGGAGCCGCAAAGTCTCGGCAGGGTGTGTTTACTCCACTCCGCTGGGCCTCCCAGGAGCCCGCGAAAGAGGCGACAGCTTGACACTTCGCAGCCACCCCAAGGGAGCCGCGGGGTCTTAGTTGGGTGTGTTTACAACTCAACTCTGCTGGGCCTCCCAGGAGCCCACGAGCGCGGCGACAAGTGAGCAGTTTGCAGACCCCAGTGGCCCGCGGTCTCGGCCAGGGGTGTTTGCATCTCCACTCCGCTGGGACCCCCAGGAGCCCACGAAAGTGGCGACAATTGTGCAGTTCGCTCCCCTCCCCCCCATGAGCCGCGAGGTCTCGGCTGGGTGTGTTTACAACTCCACTCCGCTGGGCCCCTCCGGAGCCCACGGAATTCAGTTGCGCAATTCGCAACCCCCCAGGGAGCCGCGAGGTCTCGGCTGGGTATGTTTACAACTCCACCCCTCTAGGCCTCCCAAGAACCCAAGACATTGGCGGCAATTGCGCACTTCGCAGCCCCCTACTGATCCGCGAGGTCTCGACTCCGCTGGACCTCCCATTAGCCCACGAAAGTGGCGACAGCTTGGCACTTCTCAGCCCCCCCAAGGGGGCAGCGAGGCCCCCCTCCCAGGAGCACACGAGAGAGGCAAACTCACAACGGGGCTGCAACGTAAGCAGGACGAAGGAGAGAAGGGAGGAGGACGAGAAGCGATAGGAGACAGGAGGCAAAAACTCGGAGGCAGGAGGCAAAACAGGGGGGAAGGAGGACACTCGACCACAGTGCTCGATTCAAAACGAGAATTCAGCACAGGAGGGCTGGGGAAACAACGTCGAACCCAGTGGTGTTGTGATGGCAAGAACGAGGAGTGCTGGGCCCCCGATCCTGGCACACCTATGCCGAGGGTGGACAACCGGTGATAACTGACGAGAATCTCCAGAAACCTCGAACCTCCAACCCGCTTGTCTTTCGAAGCAGGCAAACCTTAATTTACACGGCCTTCTTTCGCCCACCTCCAACGATGTGTCAAACAACGTTTGCCGAAAAAGGCGTGCAAGTACGTCCCGCCTTGCTTGGGATCCAGACGCCCTTTCGGGCCTCGCCACGCCCCCCTCTTCATCATACGGGTAGACCTGACAAAATCTAGTGAAAAATTGTCTCAACCTCGGCTTTCCGGCAACCGTTCGGAACGATCTGGGACTGAAGAACCTGGGCGACGCTGCCGCTGCAACGCGTCCCAAAGTTGGAAAACCTCCAGGAGCCACCCAACGCGTCCAAAAACCCGGAACAAAAAACGAACGTTGGGAAGCAAACCTCGTTCGTCGAACCTGTGATGGGACAACGACCTTCGTACACCAACCCCGCCAGAAAGCTGGTCCGGCACAAGTGCAAGATGAGCGTGCAAAATGGGCACCCTTGAAAGCGCGATCTTTGTACACCACCCCGCTGGAAACAAAAAACTGGTCCGGCACACGGGGCGCGCGCGGGAATCGCCCTCTACGTTGAACCGAATGACAGCTTGCGATTAACAGGTCCGCGGGGGGCGCGCGTTCACAAAAATAGTCCCTCTGCTCGGGCGAATCGCGGGGTTGCGCCCGCCATATTGAAGATCAACAACGGCGGCGCCAGTGATTGGCGCCGACGCCCACCCGCCAGCGAAAAGGCGCCACACAGCGCAGACTGGGGGAGGCGAGGAGGGCGGGAGGCAAAGGCGGCAGAAGCACGGACCGCGAGCCACGGCGACACATGTTCGAAATGAAGAAGAACTGCTGTCGGCGCTCGCCCCCGCACTTTCCGTGCTCTTTTCTGTCGAACCGGCGCGTTTCATTCGCCCTGGCCGCAGCCATGGGGGCGCCAACTTCCTCGCGGGCCCGCGAGCAATGCGGGCTGAACGGAGGAGGGGCGTGGCCAAGCGGTGATTTGCCCAGCAGCTCACATTGTTGATTTTCCGATCGCCCCCTGGCGCCAAAAGTGGCCATGCATCGAGGACTGGCCCCTCGGCGGGGCGACCATAACCAGCTGCGCGTACTAAGTTTCGACCCCCCCCCTTCCTTCCCCGGCGTTCCGTCCGACCCGAGCAGGGCGGGCAGTCCTCTTCCCCCCTCTGTCGTGGTCTCTGTAATCGTCGACGACAACGACGAAAACGAGGACGAGGGCGAGGACGATGACGAGGAAGACCATGACGCACTGCGGATGCCTTCGGGGGGGGGTTCTGCGCAGGCCAGCAGTCGTCAAACTCGTTCCACCGATCCATGCGCGAAGACGCCGCCGTGCCTGGGGGCGAAGCCCGATGCAGGTAAGAAAATGGTGGAACGGTCGGGCTCACAAGCTGCCGCCCGCTGTAGTAGTCCACAACGACGACGACGACGACGACGACGACGACGACGACGACGACGACGACGACGACGACGACGACGACGACGACGACGACGACGACGACGGGGGGGGGTTGCTGCGCAGGCCGCCCGCTGTAGTAGTCGACGTCGACGACGAAGACGACGATGACGACGACAACGACCACAACGACGACAACGACGACGACGATCACCACGACGACGATTACGACGACGACGACGACGACGACGACGACGACGGCGGCGGCGGCGGCGACGATGACGTCGCGACGACCACGACGACGCACTGCGGATGCCTTATGCGGGTGCGGGGGGGGTGCTGCGCAGGCCCCCCGCCGTACACGACGACGACGACAACGAAGGCGTCGACGACGACGAAGGAGACGACGACGACGACGCCTGAGCCTGAGAGGGGGAAAACATTCGCCTCGGATGTGTACGACCCTGTAGCAACTTCTATGCGAAAGGCGTTTGTTTTGAGGCTGCCATGTAGGGGGGTACACGATTCCCTCGGCGGCGCCCGCAACGACACCCTGGCGCACGTGATTAACAAAAAAACGCGTGCCACGGGGTCTACTCATCAGCCCTGGTCGGGGTGGGCCACTCACTTGTTAATCACAAGCTGACATTACCTCCCTGCTGACTGCTGGAAGGAATCCCGAGGCCCATCCCCCAGACGTTGCCCCTGATCTGTGCTGCCCCTTTTTGAATGGGCGCAAGGACACACACATACATACACGTAAATAAACAGAAAGCCCAAGGTTTTCAGCATTGTTCTTTCATTTGTTCTGGAATTTTGTCTTCCCCTACTTCCCATAGTTTCCCATAGTTTGTCTGTGCGTCTGTGTTTTCGTCTGCGTTTGTGTGTCATTGGGGGGGGCGACGATGATTTGTGTCTGTGCGTGTTTTCCCCCCTGATTTTTGCTCTCCAGTGCTGTAGATCTCGCCTGCGGCGGCCCCGGCGCCCCGGCGGCCCGTGTCCTCCTCCAGGGAGGCCTCCCAAGGATGGGGTCGGAGCAGAGATGGGGTCGGAGGGTCGCGCCGCGTCGCCGATGCGTCACACCGATGCATCGGCGATCCATCGGCGACGCCGGCGTGGAGACAACTACTGGGAGGTCTCGGTCGGAAAGGACTACGGAGAATTAAGCCCCATTGGGGAACTACTGCGCGGGACGAGGCCGCGGATTCAGCGGGATCATGCCGGATTCAGCGGGATTAAGCTGGATCAAACCGGATTTCGGACCAGGACAAAGACAGAACTTGGCCTCCGATGCGTTGCATGCGAAAATGCTGGACTCCACGTCAAGCCGCATCGGCGATGCGTCAGCCCTGCGGCCCCGTCTGCTCGGACCCCATCTGTCGAGGGTTGCCCAAGGTGCCCCTGCGCCAAGGTGCCCCCAGCTTTTCGCTCAATCCTACAGCCCCTCTGGAGGCCGTGGGGGCCTCAATGGAAATCCTGGGTGCACCTTGGGCCAGGGGCACTTCAACGCCCGAATCTCGGAGGCAGGAGAGACCAGAATCGAATCGACAAGTCGGATCAGCAATCGGCATGAATCGGATCGGCGGAAATCGGCACCCGAGTCGGGAGAAACCGAATCAGCGGAAATCGGCGGACCAGAATGTCTCCACTGAGGAGTGGGAACCCCTATCGGAATCCCAAGTCGATTCGAATCGGAATCAGAAGCCATCGCCATCGAATCGGATCGGATCGGAGTCGAAACGAGCCCTGATCTGGGAGGTCTCTGGATCCTCGCAGGCCGCGCTCCGCACCAGCGACGCCACCAGATGGCCGAGCACCGCCCGGGACACGCTCCCGAGCGGCCCGGCGGAGCCGAGCACCTGCCGGCGGGCGGAGCGGCGGGCGGAGGCGGGCACCCAGGATCCGAGGGTCGAGGATCGCAGTGCGAGGATCGAACTTCGAGCATCGGGGATTCGAGGGTCGAGGGTCGATCTTCAAGGGTCGAACTTCGAGGATCGAGGATCCAGGATCCGAGGGTCGAGGATCGAACTTCGAAGATCGAACTTCGAGGATCGAGGATCAACTTCTAAGATCGATCTCCGAGGATCGAACTTCGAGGATCGATGATCGGGGATCCAAGGTTCGAGGATCGAGGGTCCAACTTCGAGGATCGATCATCGAGGGTCGAGGATCGGGGATCGTACGTCGAGGATCCGAGGGTCGAGGATCCGAGGGTCGAGGGTCGAGCTTCGAGGATCAAGGATTCAGGATCCGAGGTTCGAGGATCGAACTTCGAGGATCGAACTTCGAGGATCCGAGGGTCAAACTTCGAGGATCGAGGATGGGGGATCCGAGGGTCGAGGATCGAACTTCGAGGATCGAACTTCGAGGATCGAGGATCGAGGATCCGAGGGTCGAGGATGGAACTTCGAGGGTCGAACTTCAAGGGTCGAACTTCGAGGATCGAGGATCCGAGGGTCGAGGATCGAACTTCGGAGATCGAGGATCGAGGATCGAACTCCGAGGATCGAGGATCAGAGGGTCGAGAATCGAACTTCGAGGATCCAACCTTCGAGGATCGAGGATCGAACTTCGAAGATCGAGAATCGAAGATCGAAAATCCAGAATCTGAACCTGGAGTCCATCAGATCCGCGGGCGGAACCCAGGATAGGAAGCGGGAGTCCATCGGGTCCCTGGGAGGGGGCCCAGACTCTACGTCAGAAATCCATCAAGCCCGTGGGAATGGGGCCCAGCATCTGAACCAAGAATCTATCAAACAACAGATGCTTACGGAGGCGGACCGTGTCGCCAAGGATATCCAGGTTCGAGAGTCGAGGATACAGCATCGAGGATCGGGGGTCGAGGATCAAGATTGGAACTTCGAGGATCGACGATCCGACTGCCCTTCCCCGCTCCTTCTCTCAGGAAGCAACCGGCTACTGGGAGGTCTTTGTCGGCGGATCAAGCGGGATGAAGCGGATTCGGCGGGATTAACGCGGATAAAGCGGGATGAAGCGGGATTCGGACCAGGGTCAGGTCGGGCATGTCCCCCAACAGGCGAATTTTAGCCCCCCCGGAGAATACCCCCAAAATGATCAAAGTAATCTTTAAAATCGTCCAAGGACTGTTCTTGTCTGGCCTACTTTTGAATATCCCTCGTGTAGAGGGACGTGCCCGATGTCAGACCAGGGCAAATTCAGAATTTGCCCTCCCAGGAGTTGCATCCGAACCTCCGCGCGGCCGGGGCTGACCGGGGCACCGGCACTCCAGAAACCAGCCTGCCGAGGGCCGGGAACCGCTCCGAGAGAGCGCCAGCGGCGGTGAACGCGATGACGCTCTCGCCTGCGAGGGGACGGGACGGCATCTCGCACGTAAGGATGCGCAGCGAGGAGAAAGATTGCCCCAAGAGGCATCAGGATTGGCGGGACGCACAGGGGCTAGGGGGAGGGGGGAGTGCTGCTTGGAAGGAGGCTGCTTCTGAGAAGGCGGCGGCCTTACATCTACAGACAAGGCCTGCGACTTCTAAGAAGCAAGGTGCTTCTAAGAGCCTTCTCTCCCTCCCCCTGCCTCTTGGGGCTACTTTTGGGCCTCTTCGGGGCTCTCGGGGGACTCTTCAGGCTCTTTGGGCGACTCTTGAGGGCATCTTGGAGCGGAAAGCCGGGATTGTCGACTTACGCTCCCCGTTGGGCGGCTTTTCGAATCATCTTGGGGCTCTCTTGGGCTGCCTCGGGGCGCCCTTGGGCGGTCCTGGTTGCCTCCTTGGCCCGTCTTGGAGCCATCTTGGGGCTCTTGGGCGGTCAGGGGGGCCTGTTTTCGGCTGTCTTGGAGCATTGAAGCTCGAAAACGCGAGAGAAGGCCAAAAACCTGAATTAAAACAACAATGTGGATTAATAATTGAAGGCTCTTCGGGCGCACCCGAGACGCCTCTCAAAACTCTCTTCCGGCCTCTTAGAAGCCTCCTCGGAGCCTGGAGAACCGTCGGAAGTCTGAGCGTCTTAGGCCGTCCCTTCGCGATCTGGGGGCTCCTTTGGGGCCTCCCTGGGAGGCCCAGGGGCGCGGTACTGGGAGGTGCCCCCAAATGTCACGGAGGTGTGGGACGCTCCCAGGGGGGTGGGCGGTAATATTATTATTATTGTTATTCGTATTCTTCAAATTATGAATATGATTCTTGTTCTTATTATCATTATTAGTTGCAGGATGAATATTACTATGGTTACTATAGCGTTCGTCTTACCATGATTGACATTTGCAATATTATCGCCATGCGTATCATATATATAGATATACATGTAGAGATATAGACATTTGCGAGTATACATGCATTTCTATATGTATGTATGCATGCATGTATGTATGTAGATATACATGTATATGTATTCGTAAAATACATGTATAATATATACATATATTTATATGTGTATGTATCTATACACACACTCGATTGGAGGGAGAACGAGGAGGCGAAGGAAGACAACCATCTGGCCCAGGGCCCCGGCGCTGCCGTGCCAGATCCCATGGGGTGCGAGGCCTCAGCGCGCAGCCGCGATCGGCTGCGAGCGCACCGCGACTACAACAACCTGTGGGTGCACAATTTCATCCAACTGTGGGTGATCGACTGCGACTACAATATTCTCCACCCGTGGGAAAATATCCTCTCGAGAAGAAGCACTTTGACTACAGCAACCACAAACTGTTGTACTACAACACTATCAGACTTACCCCTTTTGTTGAGACGTGCCGGCAAGGATGCCGAGACCATACGCGCATAGAGGAATATGGGCCTCAGCGAACGCGGCCCAAAAACGAGTGGGGTACAACGTCCAGCAATACAGCCCCGACTCTACATCATAGTCATTGCTGCGACCGCCCTAGCGAGAGTGTCCAAGCACGAGCTGCGCAACAGGCCGCCCCAATGCGAAAAAGAGCTGCGTAAGAGGCAACCCAAGTACAATAGTGAACCGTGTAACAGGCAGCCCAACGACGAGTGCCACCACCACTACGACACCAAGTACGCCACCAAGACCGAAGCCAGAAACGACACGACCGAACAAGCCGAAACGTTTACTAGAAACGTCGTGTTGGAGGTACCGGTGGGCAGCGGTCACGCCGCCCACGACGCGTACGACAGTTTTTGTTTCGATATTGACTTGTACTCATACGACCCCCAGACTCACGACGGGCCGCACGGCTACCACAGCAGCCGAAACAACAAAAACACCCAGAACGTGGAACACTACGACGTGGCAGCCGACGGTTCCGACTCGGACTTCGGGGACTACGAAACGTGCCCTCTGAGCACCTGCAAACCCTCGTGGACCACAAGCTGACCTACAACGATCACGCGCACAGCTGCGAGAGCCACCAGAAGAGCCTCAATACCAACCTGCGAAGCAACTAGAGCCGCCAGCAAACAACGAGAGCGATAAGCTGAACTACGAGGGCCGCGAGCTGAGCTACGAGAAACAGACTAGCTGGGGCCATCTGGCAAGCTACCTGGGCCATTGCCTAAACTTCGAGGGCAACGGTCAGAGAGACTACGGTCACCAGCGGAGCTACTATGGCCACCAGACGACCTTTGGGGACCACAAGCTCAGAAGTGAGGATCACAAGCACGGCTGAATGAGTTACCAGAAAAGCTTCAAGACCAACCTGCCGAACTACGAAAGCCACCAACAAGACAACGAGAGCCACAAGAGGTGCCTCGAAAACCGCAAACCAAGCTACGAAAGCCACAAGCAGGACCTCGAGGACCACCAGCTGAACCACGAGCACCACCTGCTGCGTTACGAAGGCCGACAACTGACCTACGACGAGCGCGGCGCGCCGACCACGCGGGGGCGGCCAAAGCCACTGCGATAGAGAGGGGGAGGAGGACAATAATTATCGAGGAGGAGAAGGAGGAGCAGCCAAACAAAAATATATAAAGTCCAGGAGTCCACTCCCGGACCTCTGGCTGTCTTCCTTTGGTCCTGACACCGGCGCGCTTCCAAAACTTTGCGGCCTCCACGGGGGGGTCTCCCGTGAGCACCCGAGAACCAGCGCGGGGAGCACGCAAACATCTGACTCCGCGGCGGTGGCAGGGACGTCGGAGGTTTGGGCCCCGAGTATGCGCGCAAACGGACGGCCGACCTCGGAGGAGGAGTCATGTAGTCATGGGTCCAAGAAAAAACAGGAGCACACCGCACGCAGGCGGGTCGCGATGGCACGCAACCGGCACCCCCGGCCTCCCACTTACTGGAGAAAGCGGGCCCGAAGGCGCGCGCACCGACGAACAGGGGATAGGCTGCTACCTCGTCGCCCAGAGACTTGCCTCCAGCCGAAAGGGCGTGGTGCGTAGGGAGACAATCGGTTCACCTCGTCACTGCGAGGTATTTCCCGATCATCAGCCCCTGCTCATTCAGCTGGCATGCGCAACTGGGTTTGCTTCCCAAGGTGAGCGGGCACACGGCGACCATGGGACTTACGGGCCACATGGCCCCGCCGCTCAACAAAATTCGGGGATCTTCTGACCCGGGTCAATCAAGACCCGGGTCAGCAGGAAACCAAAAACTGCAATGCAAGAGTCCAGGAAAAAAAAACTGCAACGCAGGTCTTCGCAAACCCGGGTCAGCCAATACGAGCGGCCGCCTCGCGGCCACGAGCGGCTCGCTAACCCGGGTCAGCCCGAGGGGGCCTTCGCAGGATCCTGTAGAATCTGGCGCTCTGGCTGACCCCGTTTGCACTGACCCCCGTCTCTCAGGCCCCGAAACATGCGCAATCCCCCGTGCCCGGTACCCATCTCCAGGTCACGGAGCGTGATTAACGCCGCTGCCACGGGCAAAATGCCACGTGGCTGGTTCAAAAAGGCGCGAGCCACTTTAGCTGCCCCCAGTCGCCGAATGCAGTCGGCTCTGACGGTGTGCCACAAGGAGTGTGTGGCGCGGGCACCATGAGAACTGGTGCCAGGCCCCCACCCTCGGGGCGACCTCGGAAGAGGGGGAGGAGGAGGAGGAGGAGGAGGAGGAGGAGGAGGAGGAGGAGGAGGAGGAGGAGGAGGAGGAAGAGGAGAATGAGGAGGAGGAGGAGGAGGAGGAGGAGGAGGCTATCGGGCTGATCGTGTTGCAAATGCGGCGGAACCTGTCTGGTCCGGGGGGCGGGGGGCCTGGCGTGGCTCAGACACCGTGGCCCTGCGGGGACGCTCACGTCCAGCACCCCAGGGCGCAAACCCTTCCCAGACGCCGCCTCGCAGCCCCACAACTCGGCGAAGAGTGGGGGGGGGAAAGTGAGAAGCAGAAGACCTTTTCAGAAGGCGGCGGGATTTCTCAGAAGCCCTTGCGCCTTCTGAGAAAAGCTCTGCGTCTTGGGAGAAGACTTCCAAAACTCAGCCTTCTGAGACGGCATTCCCCATCTGACTGCCAGCCCCAAACTCGCTGCCAGAACGTAAGAACCGTGACTGGCACCGCTCAGACTTGAGCATGCCCTGGGCAACCGGTGGCCAGGGCGCCAACAAAAGACGTACGCACCCAACTGCGTACATGAACGCGGCCCCCGGTCCGCAAGACCAGCCGCGTGATACGAAACAAAGCCACGCTGACGGCAATGTTGATAAACGGCGATGTTGGGAATACGTTTTTTTCGTCTCGCCGAACTCGCGCAGAACACATCGTTGGAAAACACGATCACGCCCCTCCTACAATTAGATCAGCTACGAGCCACACCCACCTACAACACCAAAGCCCACATCGCCACTACCTGTATCGCTGTTAGCGTGCCTACGGACGAACGTTCGCACAATGCGTACCCTCGAAAACAACGTGGCTTCATGCACGTATACATAAAGTACCGATACCGCTACTCCACGGACCTCTCCCGGGGTGCGCTCTGACCAGGATTTCGAGGCAACTCCGGCGGTAGTGACGAGGGCGTCCCAGGAGACCCAGAAAAGGGAACATGGGCGAGGGGGTAGAGGTATGGGTACCTTATCCTCCTCCGAGTACCCTCGAAACCCGCGTGGGTTCTCGCACGTGTACGTCGTTCTTTGGCCCCTGAGCGGCGGATGCGCCCTCTGAGCGGCGAGTCGGCGCAAATCGGCAGTCAATTTTAGGCCTCCTTTTGAGGAATCGGAACCCAGATCGGATCCCAGAGTCGAACCGGATCGGAGGAGTCCAAATTCGCCTTAGGTCGGGCGTGCCCTCCTACAGGCGCATTTTGGATGAAACATGAATCAATCCAGACATATGTTTTTTTAACGAAGATACAACAAAATCGCCCCCAGACTTTTTTTGTGACTCTGTTTGAAGACTCCTCCTGTAGAGGGACACGCCCAACTTAAATCGGGCCCCGCGAAAGGGGGGGATAGCAAA